GCATTATCGTAGTCAGGGTTTCGCCAGTTGAGTGGTGACTAAGGGTAACAGAGGGGGGGGTTAGAATTTACGTAGGTGGGGAGGGGTGGCGGAGAACTTGAGCGGAGTTGGAGGACTATAATTTGTAAATAAGACCTAATTGGTAAATAGAACCAAAGTAGAGGGAGGCTTCAGTTTCCCCCCCCCCCCCCCCTTGCCATTGGTGCTGAACTGCATGTGCATATACCGGTGCGCTGCAATATTTTTCGATCGGATACTCCATGCCTGGTCGCAGTCGTGAAACAGGAAAGAGGAGTCCAGAACGAGTTTCCCTTTTTTTCTCCTCCGTCATTTCCCGTCTCTTTCCTCGTTGAAAGAATTTTTTTTTCTACTTTTCGATCCTCTCGAGGACGAGAGGCACGCTGTCTCCAGCCGCTCCAGAGACGATATATCTTTCGGATATTTATTGTATTACGACCCCCACCACGGATGCAAGTTTTCAGAAAAGTAGAAGTTCTGTATAGAAGTTTGTAAATACCATAGAAACAAAATAAGGAAACAGCGACTTTTTCAAAATTGTGTTTCGAGGTTTGATAAGCGAAACAAAATAACACGGGAGCATTGGAGGCGTCTGATTTTTTTAAGGTTAAAGGTGAAAATGTGAACTATTACATGAACTCGTAACATTTTGCACAGCTCACTCACATTTTTTTGCAGTGCCGTAATCACAGACAGTGCTGGCTGGGGCAAAGCACGCCGAGGGGGCGAAATGCGGCGGTAAAGCAGCTAAATGTTAAATCTCTTCTCCTCGGCTGGAAAAAAACCGTCGCCAATTTCGCGATGAAGTTGAATCCGAGACGCAGGAAAGGCACGAAAGGTGCTACGCGACGTGCTACGCCAGCTTCTTGGATTTAAATTATGGAAATTTTTCTTAACTACCCCGATTTGCCCCAACTTCCCTTATATTATCGGCATTGCGGCGTGAAAAAAAAATGTAGTTAGTGATTCCTCGAATGCAAGGAAAGTTTTCCGCCCTGATTCGTGGTTGTTGCCGGCTTTTGCCACGATTGCAGATCTTCGAGGCTTCGCCCTGGCTGGCCGAAGCCCCGGAGCTTGCCATCCGGAGAAAATTCCGTTGCTGGAGCCTCGAAAACATGTAAATATCTTAGAGAATCGATTCCTTTAAGGGCAAACAACCATCCGTTCGAGACTTGCGACTAAATCGGAGAAAACTCTTAATAGATCTAAGGAGGAAAATAGAACGGATGGCTCGAGGGAAATGCAAATAGCAGGCAAATGAAGCAAATAAAGTGAAGGTCAAAATAGAGTCTGAAGGCGAAAACATCCTGTTTGGCATTTCGCGCGAAAAAGGCCTTTCGCATCCAGAATAGTATACAATTTTCTCTCTCTTGTAGCAGGATTTTTTGCACGATCATTTCTTGCTGGGATGTCTTCCATGTCGTGGTCACCGAGGCACTCTGTCACCATGGCACTTTGTCACCGAGGCACTCTGTCGCCATCAATATGCCATTTGCATGAATTGAAGGGGTTCATTTGTTCCTCTCAATTTTTGTAATGTAGATTTTCGTTCGCCAAGGAAGGCGGGGAACTTCACCGAGATCCAAAACCAGGAAACCAGGAAACCAGAAAAACAAATTCAGCAACTCATCTACGTGTCGACTCCACTCGATTAATATAAGAAATTGGTAAAAAAAAAATAATAAATAAATAATAAAAAAGTTCAATGAGATTACTTTCTCTGGAATTTATTTTTTTTTAATTTCGAGGGGAAAAGAAAAAAGATTTATGGAGAAATTCTCGTTTTGCTATCATTCTCATCGATCAGAAAGGAACAAGATGAACAAGAAAAACAAGAATGATTACCCAGAAATGGTAAGAGCGAGAACACACGTAGTTTTCCCATGTTTTTTCCATCTGATGCGACGGGTCTAAATTTGAAATGTCTCCTGCGACCTGCATCTCGCCTAATGCGCACGGAATCGACAAAGGCCTCGGCTCCTGCTTTCTACTTGATGGGAATTCTCCCCCCCCCCCCCTCCCCCCTTTTGTTCCTTTGTCGTTCGGGAGACGAAAATAGACAACTGAGACGCAGATACATGGAGTGGTCACAAAGTCAGGAACGATTTCATTTTTCTTTCTCGCTCCGGTGACGCAAAACGATGTGCAACGAAAATTTGAGAGCTTTTAATGGAGGCCATTGCGACGATTCATTTGTGCTCCAGCCATATTTAGAGATGTCCCTCAAACTGGTCCTTGGTTCTTGGCCATCGTCGAGATGAAACACGTGTCGTTACATTGTGGGATGAGGCACCTGAGAACTGCTCTGGCAATTTCAGGGAAAACCTACGATAATTCTACTTTATTCTGCAAAATCGTGCTCCACCACCCCTGTGCATGTTCATTTGCTAATCCTGGAGATTTTCATTGAAAACCCTTAATCCCGATTATTTTCACTTGCTGCATCAAGGGGTGAATATTTCAAAACGAAAGCGGAATGCTAAAAGCAAAGAATGTTGAAGGACCTGGGAGAGACGTCCGTCCCGTCGCACCGACCTCCAAACGAGGAATGAATGTCCCTCGGGGATCGCCCGTCGAGGCGGCACGGGACGGTGGAAGAACTGCGCGGTGCAGACGACGCGTCCGACGTCGACCGCATCGTCTGCACGGTTTCCTCGGTGGCATGAGGAAGCATTCGATTTGCCGTCATCCGGCCTGTCGTCACGAAGAAGGAAACTTTGTGGGACGCACAAGGGACACCTGGTGTTATATCTGTAGAACTCGGAGGCATCGCGAGAGGTACCTGTGCACGCGATCTCTCCGAGGTGCGTCACAGCGATTCGCACTTTTCAGTGGAGCAGCTGCCTCTTTTATAGAACAACATTGAACGGTCGTCTCGTGCAAATCGATCAAAATGAAAGTGATCGAGACGGTCCGATTCCCGTTCAGTCTGTTTCATGACATGGCGCTGATGCATGATGAGGAACTTTCACGACTGAATGGATAAGCGTTCACTTGATGCGGTCGCGATGCAATTGCGAAAAATTTGGAGCGGTGGCTCAGCCATCTCAGCAGTTGCCAACTTTGACTTTAAATTGATTATATGAAATGTGGCTGGGTGGGCTACATGGCGATGCTCACCGATCTTGGAAATTTGGTCATAGGTCCCTTTCGCATCCGATCGCACCTCACCCCCAGGAATCTCTTGCCTCTTGCACTGCTTCTAAGCGAGGTGAATGTGAAATACATTGTATTTTTCTTTTTGAGATGAAGCTTATTCCATTTGCCAGGTACCGAATCGAGGACACAGACGGAGGAGGCAAAGCCTGGAAGAGTGAGTGGCTCGGTTGCGCGAGACAGGCAAGGAAATACGTCGATTGGGGAGGGGCTCTTCATCGATTGAATCATCAGTCTAAAAGTATCTTAGCGCGGAATTCGAGTGCGAACGAGTGCCTGCAGCGGGGCGCCGGGAATTCTTCTCAAGGGTTTCACATGCAGGCTCGTGAACGAAGCGAGTTTGTTGGGAGGTGATGGAGGGCATAACGCAAGTTTTATCTCGCTCCGTCCTAATGGTTCCCATTGTTACCTGCAGGAAATAATTGATTTTCCCCCGACTCCAAACTTTCCACTATAGCCATGGATTGGGTATATTCGCAATCAAGAGCTCCCCTCTCCTTAAATGTTTCCATGAATTCGGCTCCCTCGTATGGCGTCATCCAATGACTGTTAATGAACGTTGATAACCGTAATATAGCTCACAGCTTACCTTGGATATGGCTGTTTGAATTATTGCCTTGGACTGCCGAAAATAGGCACAGTGAATGTTGATTCACCGTTGATCCACCTCTGCGACCAGATCAAGTAGCAATTCTCACATGAATTCCTGGTAGATGAACACTTTGCACCTTAAGGGAAGGGTCTGAGCGAGGCCCCGTGCGACGTCTGTGTTTTGAGATTGCATTTTGGGGACATGTTCCTGGTAAAACTAGGGGCTCTTTCGTCTCATCCATGCATTTTTTATTTATTTGGCAAGGAATCAATTAACTGCCTGGATGCTATGCGCTTAAGTGTTACTGATATCGTATACTCGAATGAGAATCATGCGACGGAGTTATTTTTTTTAATATTTAGTTCGTATGTGTCGGCGATCGGATCCTAGTCTAGTACTCATGTCAAAAAAAGCCTCTATTGATCGTGTCTGTTACCGGTTAGGCAAAGTATTGCTTCGAGGGAACAAGAATAAGCTTCATAGCATAAACATAAGACGTCTTCTGCAGAAATCAAAGCGATCAAAGGATTGTATGATAGGCGGTAGTTCAAGTTTTCCATTATGTATGGACGTCATGAGGTAAGGGGGGGAGCCAATTGCCCCCCCCCCCACCCCAAAACTAACGTAAGTGGCGTAAATGGTGGATGGGGGGAAAGACCTCTGAAACCTTAATCCGGCTCTGCCTGTCCTTTCGATCCCCCCTTGCAGTTTTATGAAGTGTCGTTCCTGATGGCTGTCATGAAATTTTTAAATGTTATTTTTATTAATTCATGCAATACAGAGAGAAAACATCTCTTACCCCTCTCTCCCTATTTTATTCGCTTAAAGAGCATAAACCCATCTTCTCGCTCTTGGGACAAGTTGGGCTCTTCGAAGATTTAAAATCACTGCAGGGAAGTAGTAATAAGGGAAAAATCGCTTGAAATCTTTCTGCAGAAGACGTAAGTAATTATGAATTTTGGCCTACACAATCCATAGCTCGTCTTGATCGAAACTATAAATAGAAGCAGGATAGGGGAAGCCCTGTGATGAGGAAAGTTCCATGGGAACTTTTGGTATATTTTTGCTCCTGCATCACCAAAAGACCGAGATAGAAACAAACAATCAATCTTTATTTCTCTGCTCAATAACCATATTATTCTGACTTTCTCTCACAGCCTATCACGGATCAATAGGGTATTGCAAGCTCTGTCAGCTCCTCTCAGGTAAAAAAAAAAAAACAACACAAAATAATCCTGTCTTTGTACTCCCAAAACGGATTGATGATCACGCACAAAGTTGGTCCTGTCTCTTAAGAGACGAATGTCGCTTTCATCTGTCCCGGAATCGCCTACTCACAAAGTCCTGTAACGCGATTGAGAGCACGGCGATGTGAACGACGAGGAGGAATTTAGGGAGGCATCCATGCCGCATGGATGACATGGATGCCCCGGAAGACTGTCTGTTGCCCGAGGCCACCTCGGACAATTTCACTATGGACAGTGCGGGTTCGGACAGGAGCTCCGCGTCGCCGGAGTTGATGCGATCCCGGAGGCGGAGCACGGCGTCTCTGCACTCCATCTATGAGCGCAAAAAATATATGTTCGTGTTTGCAGAACGTCGATGGACAAAGACTATATCGATTCCCTATGGAATTGGCTACTGCACTCACGCTCAGGACAGGGCTTTCTCCGCTGTCATGTATTTGCATGACAATGTTTTCTTCTAGCTTGTTGATTACTCGCAAGAAGCATTCCTCCTAGGGAAAGAAATGAGTGCATTGGGGCCATCATTGCTAAAACAAAATTGGATCCAACGTTCTCAAATCACACAAAATATGATTTACGATTTTGTATTCAACGTATCTATTAGGCACACGGTAAGGAAAAAAGGCATTCGAATGCTTGATATTGGACAAGTTCTCTTCCACAACTTCGTTTAAATGAGAATACGTGGAATTCAGAAGAGTGTCGCTCACACTTGGACTGAACTTACGTTCGGATGAAGGTACTTATTCAGTGCCTGTAGAACATCATCGGCCGTCAGTTTGGTCTTCTTGTACACGAGTTCTTCTTCTTTTTGACTGAAGCCAATGAAGAGGTAGATGCCATCGCCTGGCGAAATAAAGTTATCTGGAAAGCAAAGGAGACCAGTGTTGAAGTCACAAAAATGAAGCGGAAAAATCTGGCAACCCTCTACTATTTCTCAGAATTCTCATTAGAGTGATTGCACACGCCCTCAAAAGAATCTCTCCGCCATGCCAACAAAAACTTGAACCGACAATCACGTGACCAGCGAATCTCTATATTTAATCTCTTAGAAGACATAAAATGTTCCAGTCCATAGCTCGCAAGTGCGTTTGGAACGTGTCCGCCCACGGTAATATTGCAGGCAATTCTGCTGAGTACTCATGCATCGCCTTCCAGACAGGCAGATCGATGAGGGTTAAGCCCTGTCCGGGTGTGTAAGCGTCATATAATCGACTGCGTGGGTGCCGTGGATTGACCAGTCCCCACTTATTCACGAGAGGCTCGTGGGTCCATACCTTACTAATAACCAGCATCTTTTAATATGGCATTTGAGGTATCGGGGATCTCTACTAAGCTAGGAACCAGAATCGGCCTCGTCTTCATCCGCTTAGCCGTGGTGCGTAATTCTTGACCTTTCGACGAAATGCTGGTGGCGACACGATCGATCTATGATCAGTCTATGGCTCCCTCAGCGGGTCCCCGACGCCTAGCATTTGAATCGCAACGTTAACGATTTTCTCTTCGAGAGGTTAAAATCATCATGTCCCTCGTGTCGACCCAACACGGTATCGATCTCGGGCCGCCCCATTATCCAATGTATCGTGAAACGCAGATAAGAGGCTAACAACGATATACGCCGCCGAGGGAGGCCTGTTGTCACATAACCCCTGAATTTACGAGGAAGAACGAAGGCCACATAACCCCCGTTGGCCCCTACATGTGAGCAGCTGCACGGAAACGGCTTTCTATTCCTGCTCACCAGAAATAGGAAGCCGTTTCCGTGCAGCTCGACAGCAGCTCGACAGCAAAGCTTCAACAGCGATAAGGGAGATTCAATAATCGATAACACGAATCTTGGCTTCCTTGAACTATTTCATCGAAAGCATTTCGAGAGCGGAGAAGCTATGCAAAAGCCCATTGTTGTCATTCCAAGAGAGTCGAAGTCCCTCATCAAACGGAATGTGTAGATCTCAAAAGGCAGGCTCTTCCCCGTAGTTTGCGACGTCAGCCGCAAACCATTTAAAGAAGTGTCGTTGGGGACACTCGCACACTGCATCGTCTCGTCTGTATTAAGTCCCCATGCAGAAGCGCGATGATGCAAACAGGTAACAGTCGACGTGGTAAAAGTATTCCTATTATAAAAGCGCCAGTGTTGAAATTTTCCAATTGTGGGCAGTTGAAAAATGAGCAAAATTAAACGCGGATTTAAAGGTTTATTTTAAAATTAAAGCTTGGATAACGACTCCAGGGATGTTTTCCTTCCAGTTCATCGTTCGTAACGATGATAAATGATGTCGCAGTCTCTCGTGTCTACATCAAGATTAGGCTTTCGAGAAAGGGGCCACTTTCCTGCTCTAAATTATCGAGTCCCCGAAGACGATGGGAATTCTATGGGATTTTTGCGATCCCCGTTCCTCTTTAAAATGAAATTTCTGGGGGTTATCAGTCGCACCAGGCGGAACAATTAAAACGCCACACCTGAGATTACGCCGACCACATAGGTCTCTAGGAAAGGCGGCGGGTTGAATGGGTGAGAGGAATAATCACATGATTTATGTTACAGGATAAGGTAACAAAAGAGGGAGAGACAGAGGGGTTTGGGGAACTAGACTGGGTGTACATGTAGCTTCCCCCATCGGGACATCGCAGTGAATGATCGATCTCTTCTCCCATTGTCTCTTCATCTTCGAGGGGGAGGGTGGATTAGGGATCCTGCTCATCCCCTCCTGAAGAGGGCAGGAAAGGCAAAGAAGGGATGAAGGGAGAGAGAGGAAACGAAACGAAAACAAAACCAGATCCCACGCTTATCTTCTCCTTCTCGAACCGGAAAATTCTTTCATGTTTGCCTATGCATTTTCATGAGTGAGAGAGATGGAACTCGAAATGGCTCACCGGATGGGGGTTTGGCACAGATGAAGGAACCCGAGAAGCAGATGCACTGTCCCCTATAGGCCTTGTAAGCCGGCGCATCGTGGTGGTAGGTGGCCGCCGCGGTCTTGCAGTTCCCGCGTTCCACGCACCCGGCATCGGCGCATTTCAGCTGACCTCGATGGCAGCTGCATATGGAGGAGCAGTCCGGACGTCCACGTTCCGCGATCTGTCGAGAGGAAGGGACGGAATCTTCAAGATGAACCCGGAAAATCGTGCCGCCGAGGAGACGCCGTCGTCTTGGCAGGCCCATCACGCGAGGAGGCCTGCCTTTGGAATCTTTGGAATCCTGCCTTAATGCTTTCCTGCATTCAATGTCCACATATAGCACGGTTCGAAGTTGATCAATTTTCATGAAGCTGGTATGTATGCAAGGTGATGTCAATCTACATATCCTTAAGCCATTCCATGCCGAACCATACGAACAAGGAAAAGCATGCAGTCATGCGCATTCGCTCCGCCTTCTGCGTGTCTTACTTCGTGCTGTTGAGGCCGTAAATGCTAACCGAATGATACACGTCCGGTATATCCGTCGAAAAAAATGTGTTAGACGAGAGTCCGTAAAGAACACTATTCAACGTGCGAGTCTATGGCCCCAGGGCAGAGAGAGTTGTTGACTCTTCCTGGTAAGATCAAGTTCAACGACACACGCGTGTCGTTGCGTTTTTGCGTATAGTCATGCTGCTGCTTTGATTTTTTTTTACTCCTAGAATTCTGGCACTGTAATGTATACAATGAGACAAGCGAGCGCTTTCAGCATTCATACTCGGCTTTGATGAAAGGGACGGAATAAAGACTCAAACTGAATTGCTTCCTTGATTGCATCTTTTCTTGCTTATTATTAGGACTTCATTTATTATTGGATTGAAACGAACAAGACGAACACTGAAGATCCGAGAGCTCAGGAGGCTCTGTAAAGGGAAAGCATATATCCACGCATATGTACTTTCCTTGTTCTACTGAAGACCAAAATACGCTCCATCTCCTTTAGTGCCACCTGACAAGCTCGAAAATTAATTATTTTGAAATAAAGTAACTTAATTTCATAATTTGAAAACTATAGGGTGTATCAGAGAAGACTGACACATTTGAAATTTACAAGAAAAACTTGTGTGCAGATCATTCTCAATTTTTTTTTGCTGATGTAAGGTTCAGTTTTATCTGCCATGGAAAAATTGGAAGTAGCTAATCGTGCGAGGATTGTGGAACGTTTTCGCAGCAGGCTCCATTGTGCATGCACAATATACGTTTCGACGTGACTCCTGCCTATCCATGGGACTGACATGTGCATGGGCTGGGGGTTGTACTGGTACAAGCCGTACTAGTACTGCAAATAGAAATGCCTTTACCTTTGGAATACCCCCACTGGATGACGAATTTAGCGAAAATATTAACGCCAATATTGGCCCAACTACTGGGGCAGTGTCATCCCAATATTGGATCGATATCGGCTGCCAAGGCAATATTGGCGTTAATATTTTCGCTAAATTCTTTATCCAGTGGAGGTACACCCATAGTGAAGGCATTTCTCTTTGCAGTACTAGTACGGTCTGTACCAGTACAGTACAGCCCCCTGTCCATGCACATGTCTGTCCCATGGATAGGCTGGAGACAGAGAACAGTACAGAGGTTGATCTTCCCCTGAATGTACTAATTGTAGTACATTTCAGAGGAAGGTCTACTCTTAACTGTTCTACGGAGCACCTGCAAAATTAGTCCCTCATTTCCTCATAATGTCCTCAGGATGATGAAACGGAAGATCAATCCCGCGAATATTTTCCATGTTCCAATATTACTTTCGGATATTATTTCAGAGTCGCCCTGTTTTCGTAAAGGGTTCTCATAGGGAATATGAGCTTGTTTATGGCCTGGGCTCCGTGATTCTGTCTCAAATATGCGGATAACAAATGATGAAGTGTCTGAGTTTATTGATTGCTATAGTGAGATTAGGCGAGACATATGGCGAGGTACTAAATACTTTTGTGAGAAACGATCACAGGGAAAGAGAGAAGGTTACTTCTGTGGACAGTGTGAAAAGCAAGACCTACGTATACCTCCATCTGTGGCCTGAAGGAGAACTTCAACATTTCCCAAAAACTTCAAAAAAGTGCGGTCGGGCACATTGGATCTTCGCGTCGGTCCAATACTGGATCGATGATGGAATGGCAATATTGAGGGAGTCAATATTTTGCCTATATTGGAAATATTGTCCAAGATGTAGCCAACGTACCCAATGTCGGTCCAGCATTGAGCCAATATCTGGTGCTACTGGTGAAAAACCAGAAACCAAAGCAGCAGTAGCAATGGTAATTTAGCGCAGTCCGTCCAAGTCAGTTTTTCACCTCTTGCAGGAAGTTGGAACAAGCACTAAATCAGCGCAGAATTTTGCGAAAAACAGTTCTATAATATTCGTACGATAAACCATTTCCAAATTTTCCATGGCAGATAAATCTTCAAACCCTGGAGAATATTAACCTTTAAAAAAAACTAAAATGACCAGTCAACAAGTTTCTGTAAGTTTCAAATGAATCAGTCTTCTCTGAGACCCAGTTTATATGTTCAGGGTGGGCCAAAAAAATAAGCTATCATTTTTGGTGAGTCGTCAATCTCATTGCAGGTTGCCGATTTTTATAAAAATTTCTAGGCTTATAAGGTGACACAATTGAAGTTTGTAAACCAAATTTCAGTCATCTGGTTTTAAAATGATAGGAATTGTGATTATTTTCTGATGACCAACATCAAATGGGCTGTCGAAAATATCGATACAACCTTAAGACCGGGATGAAAGGGAGGTCCGAATTCATTGATCTTCCATCCCTGCATGATGCTGCAAAGGAAGATTGGGAGTTACTACCTCAAAGGTTTATTGACCGAGTCATTGATCCGTGACGTCCCAGACGAGGGGCTTCTTCTCAACAGAATGGAGAGCACGTTGAGTACCTTTTCAATTGAAACGTACGTCCCTAAGCCAAATTCCGTGCCTTCGTGTTTGGCATTTGTGCATCTGTTTTTATTCTGTTTGTTTGCTTGTTTGTTTTTGTCAGTTGTGAGAGTTTTTAAGCTGAAAGAAAAAATGAACACTTACTTTTTCGGTGATGGAAAGTAAATTCAAGGCCAATCTCTTAGTTTTTAGAATATTTATTTGAAACTTGGCACACAAACCCTAATTGAGTCATCCTATGTGTATATCAAATTTCATCAAAATCGGCCTCATACAATCAAATTGACAACTTACCAAAAATGATAGCTTTGTTTTATTTTTGGCCCACCCTGTATATATACTGACAGATCTAATCTCAATTCTCTTCACTCGAAGGTGTCCTATAGAGCAATGTTTCTCAACCGGTGGGTTGCGGCGGAGGTGCCACGGGTGGGTCGCAACAAGTATCTGTTAATTTATAAATAATTAACAGCTAGACGAACAAAAATTATATAGCTTTGTAGTGGGCCTGCCGGAAGTCGGAAGTCTGTAGTGGGCCTCGAACCACTTTACAGTCGTTAAGGTAAGCCGTTGGATCGATAAGGTTGAGAACCACAATTATAAGAGCATCCAATGCTGTATATGCGTACATCTTGCGTATTTGTTCTATCGTATGCCTTTGCATCGCATCCGATTTTCCCAGAAGTGCAAGAAGCAAATGTGAATGAATCGCTGGATGAAGTGGTAAACTGTGAAAAGCAGAAATCACTCTGTAATGAGCAGTGCCAAAGGGACGATTCATTCATTCTAAAATAAAAACAACTGCAAACCGTTCTTTCAGCGAATCAAACGATCAAAATCGTTCCACTAGACGCGGCACTCTGGGCTTTTGATACATACGAATGTATTCTGGGAATCGCTTCTAAAAATGGCTAACGGGTAAGAAAAGACAGCACTTGGCATCCCTGTAATGGGATTCCCATTTCCTGGAATTTCCTATGCACTGGGTGGCAAACTAGAAAAATGAGAGAGAAAAGAGAAGAAATTGTAGCTCTACCTTGAAAAAAAAAAAAGTTGCATCGATTTCAGTAATTTTTTATCCGTGGCGACTCGTGCATTTGGATCAGTGAATCAATGGAGGATACATCTGAATCATTTACGACTCATAAAGATTATATGTCCAGTAGAAAGAAATCCACTGCGTAGATCTATTAAATATATCTACTACGCCCATTATAGGATGTCCTACCGTGGATACATGGGCGTCCGCTGGTTTATTTCTTGTGCCTTGCCCCTTGCCTTGAATGGCAGAACAGATGCACACACAAGGGTAATTTATCTTTTGTAAAATGATGATAAAGTACAAGGAAAGGTGGGGGGGGGGGGGGGGCAAGTGCCCCCCCTTGCCCCTGGGAGCGGACGCCCATGCGTGGATAGGATATCACGTTTGACATCCTGTATCCTGCAGTGAAAGGACACATGCAAGGTAAGGGAAAAAAGTGAGGTGGGCAACCAAGCGAGGTGAAGCCGTAAGCCAAGATGCAGCAACTCGAGACAGGCTGCAGATGGAGGAGGGAGTACTTGGGGATTGAGGGAAGGAAACCGACGTGACCGGCATTACTGGGTCCCTCGAGACACAAACCCTTTTCTCTTATCCTATTACATCTGGAATAAGGGTGGTAGACGCTTCTAATAGCCCTTGGCTTTACCCCAAGAACAGCGGGGAAACTTGGGACGATGCGGCGGGAGTGGCCCTCAATCTGGATTCCATTCACAGAGCGTAAAAGTTGGTGTTAAGTACAATGCAGGGCGTCGACTGGGCCGAGGAATGCGATGATGGAGTGAGGGGAGGAAGGGGAGGAAGAGGAAGGGAGGAAATTGGAACCCATATTTCATCGGAGTTTCCGGTGTCCCCAGGGGTTCGGTCATAGACGTTTTTCTCTCTTCTCTCGACTTCTCCGGGGCCGATAACTCCAGACATTGCACCATGAATAATTCCTCTCCGATTCCACAAGTCTCTGGGTTTTATGTGATCTTCGGCTGCTTAGCATACAGCAAGCTCGTGTTTCTGTCGTGGAAGGTGCAGCTTGCGTCTTACAAAATAAGGAAATTCTCATTCGTTAAAAGATAAAATGGCCATATTTTCAATGGCCATTCATGATTTGTAAAAACTTTTCAAACTTCTCACCTGGTTTCAGTGACAAGAAAAAGATATAATCTGATTTTATCTCCATGAATTTATATTTTAAAAAGTAATTCCAGCGTTCCTTGCACAGTCAGTCTATATCAAAGGCAGTCTGATATCGCGACTGACTCCTCCATGTGCAGAGGATGAACTTGTGAACCACTGGGAATGCAAAGGCAACGTTTTCCTTCTGTCATTCCCCCGAGTCACGCAGTAAAGCAGTACCCATAGAAACCAGTAGGCCAGGGCGACCGTGAAGCAACAGGCGAAAATTATTACCGTCGAGCACGATGGAACCTCAGGAACGTCTCGATCTCCTGGGAATCTATCCAGGCGGTGCTCATGCGTAGAATACATATCCCTTCCTTTAATCATTGCTTGGAGATGGGGTTCGGTCGCGACAAGGTCATTTTCGGTTCCCTTGATGACTGAGGCTAGGGTCAATTCAGATATGAAGCAAGATCGGGGAAGGTGCCATAATCCATTTACGGCCGGTTCCCTGGTGGCCGACACGCAATCTAGGTCATTAACAGACATCGATCGAATCCTATCTATTTCGCCCCATCGCATTTGCCATGTCCTCTTCGATCAGCTACGTGCACGCCAACAAAACTTTTCAGGGTCCATTACGGCAAGTCGAGGGTAAAATGGCCTCGAAAGGGGACACGACAGATTCTCGGTTCATCCAACACCGAGCAAACTTCCTAATTGTCCTTTCCTCGTCGCTGACGTCAAATGCTTTCCGCCCACAACAGAGGCGACAAGATGGGTCGCATGCACCTGAGACAGAGTGATGAATATGGTTTCTGTAAATATTAGGCGTGGGTGGGACATTTTCCATCCAATGACGCCTTCTCACGCCTCAATGATGCTATTGTGTTGCAGTCCCTTGGGTTTTTTTGTTGTAGACTCCCTCTGCATTACCTTGTTATCGCGAAGCAACATCGATTTCCTATCCTCCATCACACAATGCATGAGGGAAAGTGAGAGAATAGCAGGAACGGAGAAGAGAAAGATGGATTAGCACAAGTTCCGGAAAAGTTTCCTGGTGGAGAGATGAAAATGCAGGCCGGCCATTGACGAGAAAGTTTCCACCTCGTCAAATGGGGCCCAGAGAGCGGCAATAAGGAAAGCCCTTCCAGTCTGCTAATGCCTTTCAATTCCTAATCGGAGGCGTCAACTCCTTTCGTGGATTTTGTGCCTGACAACTTGGCGTTCATGGGTTTTCGTGTTACTCGGATGCCTCTTCAACGTCGAATGATTTTTCCTATAACCCTTTCTCGACGCGAATGATTCAACCATGTCTCTCGCCCTCTTGGATACGTATTGGATTTGAAATGTCTATTTGATCCATTACTTTTTATGTGAGGAGTTGAATCTTGACTTTACTCAAACATTGGCATATGGCGGCGGCCTCTAATGTTTATGTTCATGATGTCCGTAAATAAAAAAAATTGAAACCCGTTTCCCCAGCCACCTCAATTAAAATTGACTTGGTGCGTGCGTAGTGAGCCAGGTACGGGAAAACCAGGAAGAGAGAATGCGGAACACACATCCAACAGCATGTTGATTCTCTCTCCCACTCCTATGTGTACTCGGGGTATAAACTATTTACTTAATATTGATTCCTTCCCTGCTTCTGAATGAGCATGCTAGGAATCACACAGAGGCATAGATGAATCAATAGCTCACCCGTCTATGTTCTCCTTCGGGGATGAGGAGCACCCCGAAATCCTCTCCTATGCTGCAATATCCATCTAAAAAGACACAAATGAAAATGCATAAAGGAAACTAGTCTAACCCACTCCAAGTCTTCAAGCAGGTGCTTACTCTGGGCGACATCATTTGCACTCCGATGGGATGCGGCAGCAGAATCGCTCGGCTGTTGCATCACTGCTCCATCCAGGGATCGATCCCTGGAAGAGGAGTTCCCTGGCGGTGCAGCTGCAGGGAGTTGAGTCCTCCGGCCGTGGATCACCTTCTTAGGCTCCGGGGCTTCCATTTCCACCTTAGGTGTCACAGCAGAACTTGTGCTCGTCTTCACAATTTTTGTCGTCGTCTCTGGAAGGGGCTTGGGAGGGTTTCTTGTCTGATATTCTCCGATCGTTTCCTCTAGAGATTAATAGATGGGAAGTCTCTTGAATAGAATGTAAACCAGATATTACTCATGTTCAATCATTTTTCTGAGAAGAAAATTCGGCCCGTTCCGATTCATGCTAGAGCAGTAAAATTGATGGCCCGACTAGATTATTGCGTCAATGCATTCAAAGTGGCTTTTGAAACACATCAAGAATAAGCATTGCATGTAACACTTGAGCGTCTCACCCAAGCAAGGATTGTGCCAGAGGATCCTCATCCAACCTTGACAGAGGAGCGCATCCAGTCCGGACGCCTCATTGCACGTACAAGCGACAAGAAGTGGGGAAGCGAGAATGTCCTGGAAGGCAGCGGCGCACTCCTTCCACCCTCCGGCACATGCAGTTCCTGCACTTGATGCCGCGCATGAGCTCTGGTATCTCTTCAGTTTTGTCCTGTTCGTGACGGTTAAGAGTTAAGATTCCCTTCCTCCTCTTCCCATGGTTAACTTGCAACATATCAGAACTCACTGGCAGTCAAAATCTCCTTTGCAGCGACGAACAACATCCAGACAAGAAGGCCCTCCTTGAGAGAGCGGCTTATAGTAGCAAGAAGGGTATAACCTCTCCAGAGACTGCATGCATTTCCCCCCTTCGCTACTAGATCTCCTGAAATAAATGGTGTCGACACATAAGGCCAGATTTTCTCTCGCTCTCTCTTTTTTTTAGAATTACAAATTACCTGCAAGTGCAGAAGGCCAGGTTTCCATGGTGCTCCGTCGAAGACTGGGCATGGAAGTGGTTCAGGGTGGATGCACAAGCGTCTTGAGAGCAGAGACGGGGGTCACACGAAGACACTGCCGAGCCAATGAGGTCTTTGCAACGTGTGTCAGTCATGCATCCATCCATTGCAATATCGCACGAGTCCTTTATCTCCTCCCATGCACCCACTGTCGATGATAATAATAAAAAAACCTTGTCGATTGAGGAATGGCGAAACAGTACAGGCAGCAGTTGTCATATAATATGATTCATCTTGAGTAGAGACTGACGTCAAATCTTACACTTAACATTAAGTCTTGTGCTTGATTTTGATAATACCTTGAGACTCGTTTATCCCATCAAACATTACAGAATTTGTCAGAAACTATCACTGCTGGTAGACCTATGGATGACGTCAGTCCGTTCTCTGGAAGACAATTCATCTTGGTCTCATAAATAATGTCGTACGCCTATTCGTTATTTTAATGCCAGAAATAGAAGGCGCGTGACATTAATTCGGCATTAGGTACAAGCTGGGTGACGTCAAGGGAGGAAGGTATAGATAGAAAATCCATGTCTTTGTCATGGTATACTTAACTATCAATGGGGAACAAGTGTATTAATATCTAATCCGGTGCACCGGTCTCAGTTAAGCTATTTTCGGCTTTCAATTAAGGGCAATGTCAGGTTGGAGGATCGTCTGAGACTGAATCGTTTATATTCCTTGTAGTCCGATAAGGAACAGAACTTTGGCTTTATTTAATCCTAGAAGCGGCAACTGCCGATCAATCGACAGTTCACCCGTCACAGGGTTTAACCTTGCCGCTTCTAGGGCTAAAGTTCAAGCTCCTCACGCCCCAACAGAATGTGACGTGCGCTCTTGCGATGGCTGGACCTGGATCTAAACCTCCGTGATGAAGTCCTATAGTGTGGAGAAATTGTCAGCAATGTGGCATTACCTTTAAATAAAATGTTTCCTGGCTGTTTCGTGACTAACGGCAGTCTCCCTCCACTCACGTCGACTGCAGAATTCCGCAGCTTATGAAGGGCGAGAGTCTCATTAAAAGGCCTCTAGGGATCCAGGGTGGGACGGCGAGCTCTTTGGCTAATGACAGATATGAGCCACGGCTCCTCAACGAGGCAAGGGATCCCTGGGGATCGCGTGTGTGTGTATGGGCGAAGGAATCCTTCCGTGACTCCCTGATCAGATCGAATGGGTTCATTCGATCACATAAGCATGTGACGAATGAAAGCCCGAGAAAAGGTTTAAGGTCTGCTGATATTCACCAATGTTTGCCTCTCTCACGGAAAAGGGCCTCACTTGAGGTCAGCAGTTCGTTCAGAAGCAGGAGTTTTCAAAGCAGCACATAATGCAGGACCATTCAAAGCTGTGTATTTGCCTTCAAAACAACATAATTTATGAACATTTATCATTAAATCATTAAAAAAAATTATTTTTGATCACACTCCTTCTTATCACATTACTCATCACCCGACAAACATACGTGATTTTTCCTATACAAAACGTTACCTCCTCGTTTGTCCAAATTTAACCGCTTTTCCCCTAATCTTTGCCTGAAGAGTCTTCTGACAGGTTGAAAGAGGGGAGAAAACCGGTTTTTTTTTGTTCCTCAGTTTCACCGTCTCAATTTTAATTCAGGTAAATATTTTTTGTAAGGGTTCCCCTTCCTACGGAAGGACGTGACAATTTATTCCAGAACCACCAGCATGAAAGGATGGGATAAAGGTATGAAAGATGAAAAACCAAAGGGAGGGGGCCAAAGAGCCCCCTTGCTGAGATATAGACAATAGCGAGGTCTTTAATGGGCTCTCAACATTCAGGGCTCGCAAACGCGACAAGGCTGGGAATGGCAAATCTCCGAATGGGGCCTCAGTTTAAGCAATCCGCGCACGTAGACCCGGTGCCGGAAACACTTGGTTCCAGCTCACCGATCTCTTTCCCTCCTTCTCCATCCCATCTCCTTCCCCTCGAGAGAGACGGGGACCTTGACATCATATCGACATGATCCTCATCGTGTCGATCGTGCACGATTTGCAACGTGTTTTGTCACTCTTGAATATATCGCGCCCGTTCCGAAGGTGCAATCTTATTGAGCCACGGAGAGCTTGGGATTGCTTGGGGCTGTCAGAACTATTTTTCTATTCCTTGTCTTCTTTATTTCCCCCGAGAGGTTCAATTTTGTCCAATTTTGAAAGTGCAGCCCCTTTGTGAGAAAAGGCAGGACAAAAGAGAGCAAAGAAATCCATTCCACCTCTGAATTTTCTCCGCTGGCACCAGACCCTGCTCAGTTCCTCGAATTTATTCCCGAGATCGGTTCCACCGGGTTTATCGAAACGGGTTTATCAAAACGAGCGACAAATACGAAGCAATTTCCACTCGCTCGAAGCCAGCAGGTGTTGCAGACGGCACAAGGTATAACGTAGATGAAGAACGATTCTCCACGATTTTGCAGTAGAGTGGCTTTGTTCCAGCATGGGCCAGAGCAATATTTCTTTCTCGACACGGAATTCCGTCCCTCCGTATACTTGAGGGACCTGAAAGATGCATTGCACATGCCTCGACTCCAGAATCCCGCTGTTGAGCTAAATCGAGAATGCATTTTCTAATTTCCCAAAAGGGAAACTTTTCCTTGCAGGCCCGACAGAAAACACTATATGTAGGTCGAAGTCCTATATAAAGTTCGCTCGATGAAAGACTTCGCAGGAACGCCAAAGCCCTTCGTGACGGTTCACTTTTCCCCTTCCACAAAGCTGTGTCCTCAATGCATTCCAAAAGCGGACTCGATAAGCCGGGAAAAGAGGAACCCCGATGGGGATCTCGTTTCATTTCCTCGACAAAGGAGGGAATGCTGGCCTGGCTTCCCACTAGATAACTCGGCTTCCTTTTTGCGCTGCTAATCGGTGTGATCACAAAATCGATGCTCTTCGTCGATCGGATGTATTCATGCCAAATACCCATAGATGAACCTCTTTCTGTTTATATCTGTCCACCGCTTTCCCTATATGCCGCTACCTGTCACAACACATGTAGGCAATAGCTGCATGTACGCCTACTCGGCACTGCAGGTCAGTCAGTACCAGTCATCCATGAGCATTTCTGCCACATTTACAAAACTTCCCCAAATGTTGGATGCCCCAAATAATGCAATTGAAATGCTCGTCTGATATGAGAGGGCTCCCTTACTAATGCAAGGTTTTGTTTTTCTCCTTCGTTTCAGGTAACTTGCAATTGCATTCATACGAAAGGGAAAACATGCGTCTGCTGAAAATTCCAGGGTCTAGCCCAGTGGTGCCCAACCTTTTCGGCTAGGGGGTCACATAGCTCACTCCCGCAGCCATCGCGGGCCAGTCACTAGTATTGTAGGAGACTATTTTAAGGTACCTAAGGGTATTTATTGTGGGTTAGGGCTTCGCGGGCCACTTGTAAGCACCTCGCGGGCCACTTTTTGCCCGCGGGCCGCGGGTTGGGCACCACTGGTCTAGCCTTTCGATGCCAATAAAACCGTGTGCAGGATCTGGAGGCTTATTATATGTGTATGCCTCTTGTGTATCGACTAGCCGTGTTGCTCAATGATGACGTCAGTAGCGTTAACTTGGAATCGTCGCGAAGGAATGGTCAATATTTTGACAGAAATCGTTCTCCGATGTACCACTTCGTCAATGACGTGTCTGGGGCGATATAATCTTCCATGATGACGTCGGTTTAGCAATTATTCACTCTCGTCGGAATTAATGCAGCAATTAGCCAGACATGCCAAGCGGATATCGATCGATAAGCTCCTCAATAAAGGTCAGTACAAAAGCGAGGGGGAAAGAATTATGTCCATGTCTCCATTGTTATGGCAATTTTGTGGATCCCTTAATTAGTGTATCCAGGAGGGCGGACCCAACTCGCACGGATCGGCACCCACATAAACTTCTTAACGACATCGTCTGACAGCTCTGTGGTACCGTCATGGCATAACGAAGGCACACAAACAATATCAAATTTCTTAAGTACTTCATTCTGAGTGGTTACATTCCCAATTCTCTAAATTGAGAGAAATAGTTGGATTGAGAGGATGGTTCAATTCATGGACGAATTTAAGACGTTCACCTCCGGTATAATGCAAGAGAAACGGAATCGATGTAGGAAACAAAACGAGAAGGAGGATGTTCTCACGAGAGGGAGTCGCAGGGGGTTGCGCGAGGAAGAGAGGATTGCTATCCAGACCGAAGACTTGCAAACTGGTCGACGCCAGGAGGTCCGCGCCGCCTCGCAATCCCTCGACCACGTTCCTCGTCCCGCGAGCCTTCCACACGCTGCTCGGCACGTAGTCTGGAAAGAGTCCATCACTTGGGGATGAGGATTGTGAGATGTGCAATATGTAACGAAGTGTCTTTCAGTGAGAAATGCATGATATTTCAGTAAGTGTAGACAAGGTAACATGTAAAAATAAAACATGAAATATCACAGTAAATAAAACTCCATAAATTATTGTAAATGTTTCGGCAGCAAAACGACCTTTAGATGGTGTAAAACGTGATGTAATGCAGCATATAAGAAGCAATGGAGTATAGATGAAGGGTTGATGTAATGAGGATTATATAGCCCAGTGCTAAGTGATATGAGCCTAGCAGGGTTAATAGAAGGAGGATGAGGCAGTCTGGGGGTGGGAGCGAAGTAAATATGAGGCAAAGAGAAAGGGGGAGAGATCCATTGCGGCCATCACGAGATGGTCTATTAAAGACCTGAGGGGTCATCATGAGGGCTGCAGAGGAATTAGGGAACCCCCCCAGCTCATTCTCCCTGTCTCCGGGCTTAATCCTATTTCTCTTCCTTCTTCGCCGTCTTCTCCCCTTTCTTCTCATCATAGCATAAGAGGAGAAATCACTCTAGCCGGTCGATTTCCATCACTACATCTCGTTTTTTTTGTACGCCATAAGTGCTGTCCATGCTTTCATTGTATGTGCAGAGATAGAAATAGACTGTTATTCGAAGCGTGTTTTTGAATTCCTCCATCAAACCATTTCCTCACCTTCGTCGCCTAAATAGTAATGCTGCATATTTTGGTTTATCGGGCATTGGAAGGTATATTTAAGCAGGAGGGACGAAACATGATCTTCCCATTTAGGGAATCGGAGAGGGAAACCAGACCGTGAATCGTGATAGGATTCGAAATGCATGGGGAATCAATGGGAATTAGGGAGAAAGGAAGGAGAAAGAAAGCATACCAGGAAGATTCTCTGCCTCAAAGGAGAAAAAAAAAAGAGGAAAAATGGAATGATGACGTCTGAAAGAATCGGCTTCTGTCTTGGAGGAACCGACTAGAAAGCAAATTCTTAATCAATTCCCCCAGACTACATTTTCCACGGAGACAATCTCGGGACGCTAAGAGGCTTATTCCCAGCACAGTTCCTCCTAATGCAAATAAGCAGAAGCTGCTGGCTCCTCCTCCATTCGTTTGATATTATTCCCCACGCAATATCGATCTGGATGAGATCCAAATAGCCGCCACGCCACAATATCCTAAGTGGGTCTCTCACATCCAGTCTCATCAATCTTATCAGCTAAAAAAAAATGTGCCAAACCCCTTCCCTGTCATCATCCATGCTTGCTTCGATTAGTTCCTTGAGAATCACTCGCCGACGAGCTTTCATCGTTATATCATCTGGAGCTTCAGAAATGAGGACAGTAAGCCCCCATGCACCAATTAACACGCCGATTGTGCTTGCGATATGTGATTGATGCTCCCATTCCATGTTGTCTGTTTGGAACTTTCCTGTCGTTTCCTAATTACGGACGAGCAGTAAGACATGCACAGGACTCTGAAGACGGAAAATTAAAAAAAAGCGAAAATACAGAGTGGAAAGAAGATTCTGTGAGTGCGGGAACCCTAGGAAATTCCCCAGGTGTTTCCATCTTCGACGAAAAAAAATCTCGCAAAGAACTATAATCTTCCATTATTCCCTCTTCCTGAGATTCAACTGCCATGGAAGCCGTGCCAACCATGAGAACTTGCACCCTTTCCCAATTCCGTGATAGTGTTCCTGGAATATTCCAGATCATCGACCTGGGTGCTATTACTGCATGTCGTCCCCCCCTCCCCCCTACCCTACAACCTCCCTATTCTTCAGATCTGGGGCTGACGTTTTCCCCCGAAAGAGCCGTGATTCCATCTTGCGGAAAAAAAATCCCTAGCGGTAAGAATAATGTTGCTCCTCTTTACCTTTAAAAGAAGTGAGAGAGCGCGAGAGGCTGGAACGGCTTGGCCTGGTTCACGCACTTGTGCTTCGCTTATGAAGAGGAGCATCTGGTTTTTGAATATGGAAATCTGGAATTTCCCCCTTTCCTCATTCAGCCCTATTCAAGAGCTTCCACTTAGTATGTAACATTGCAACAATCGCGAGGAATCTCAAATGGCTTCATTGCATTCACGGATAAAAGTGAACGTTCTTGGAATGATCTAATTGAGGTTCTTCCGCCTTGACTCCCATGGGACAATAAGTACAGGGCTTATCATACGCTCTTTCATTTGTCCACGGTCTTCAACGAGTTACTTCAGAATTATTCTTCCCTCGATCTGTATTTTCTACACGGGACGGCGAATGAACGAGTCTTCACAGCGTCGCATTCCTGTATTTCAATCAAACCATGCAGAAACTACCCTACATTTACAGTACATCTCGTCGCTGAAAGAGAAGCTCCCGGCACAAAGCAGATTCCCTGAAGACGCTATTTTTTTGCCAAAATATTCCTAATCTCAATCGATCCACTGCTCACCGACCTACAATTTGATAGCAACGCATACAAGGGAAGCCAGCGAGTAACGAAGCCAGGATGAACTCTTAAGAGAATCTGAGAGGAAATCCTTTAACCCCTCCTGTTCCGTTCACGTGATTGCGAATGCATGAGAAAGCGATCGGCCCAATAGAGATGTAACGTTTTGGTATGCGCACGCCTTTTTCAAACCACGAGAGCTCCATCAAAGGCAATCTCTTTGGGCGAAGAGACCCCCTATGATGGGCTAAAAAAAAAAATTGCCACGTTGATGATCTGAAACTGCCTATTTCACTCAAAACAAAGCTTGTAATAAAGCAAAACATCGTTGCACACCCTTATCCGATGGCGATTGATGAGACACACGATCTCGATCGATGAGTATAGGCTTTATTAGAGTCAAGAAGACGGGAGATAATGAGAATCCGAATGAAAAATTTATGTTTGGACCCTTGGGAAAGAGGCAAATAAATAATCGTTGGATAATCTGCATCTGAGCCCCCCCTCCCTTCCACTCTTCATCAAGACTTGCCTCCTGCCCCCCCCCCCCCTCACTCCACATAAAGAGTCGTCAGGAGCGTTCCTACATGTCTATATATAACATGTGCAAGTTTGCCTAACTAATTCATATTCGATGCGCAAATTTGCCAAGAGTCTCAGATTCCTGGGCCTCAAAAAAAAATTTCCTGATGGCTGGGGACAAAGTTGTATTCGCGTCGAGTCGGGAAAGAGAGAAGGGGGAAGGAAGAAAAAGGAAACAATTTATCGGAGCTTTGGAGAACTGCAGAGGGGGGGAGGGGAAGGCATTCCACTTGCATAGAAGGTCAAAGGAAATAGGGGGAGCCCCTCCGCTATTGAAGCATCGGAAAAGGGGGAACAATCAAGAGGTAATGATGTGTTGCGAAGAGGCCAGGATCGCCGTCGGAATCCCAAGCATGTATGCATGGTCTATTTACGCCTTCCTTTCTTCTCCGCTATTTCCCAACGGGATATCAACTATCTTCTCCTCTCTCTCTCTGTACTGAATCTTTCATGAATTCGAAGTGGACACGAGAAATGTCTCCCTTCTCTCTTTTTTCCCGGTATTCCTTTGCTTTCTCACCCTGAATATTTCAATCAATCTTTATTGTCAAGTGCCATAAAGGCAAAATTGCAAAAACTGAGACAGGAATCGCGTACAAGCATAGACGTGTTTCAATAAGGCGTTCGCTGTCAAAGTTGCGAAGTCTCTTCCGTTTCTGACAGGTCTTATGAAAAGATCCACCTTCAGAAAACACGAAAAAGCACCTAGAGAAAGGCCAACCGGCTATATATAAGGAAAACTATTTTTTTAAGGCTCTTTTAACTAGTTTCTCAAAATTTCTGAAGTCGTTTTTAACTTACTTTTTCCTTTTCTTAAAACTTAAAAGGTAAGTATTGAAATAAGAAAACTTTCATTTTTTTCTCAAATAATTCTGATCAAAATATCAAGACAGGGGTTCTGATCAGAATTGCAGGAAACACACGCTACGGACGTTTCATTTTGAAAATTAATTTGAACCATTGCAATTGCAAATAAGGCAATTCATTTTGACCATAAGGCATAACCAATTTTATGGATATTACAATACCCCGTGCATACATCACTATGTCAAATACTGTATACGATTTTCATTATTATGCGAAATGCAAATTCAATACTTTTCAGAATAATGACATACCTTTCAACTTAAGCATGACATAAAGACTAAGCTTGATGGCCTTTTTGCGTTTCGTCTCGGGAGACTCTTTCCTGTTTTTGCCAATTCTGAGGGTCTCCTTGAAATTACAAGGATGAGAAGGTAAATATCTTGTTACATCAGCCCGTTACTGCACATCGTCTGTGACCATCCGCACGTTCAGGGCAAAAACGTATCCAGTCGAAAAGTGGGACCCAATCGTGTCCATGTTGATCCTGTCTCTGGAGTCTTTTCAAAAGAGAATTCCAAGAAATTATATAAATCTAGCCCGTGCTAGGCATACTCAAGCACGAAGAAGGAGCTAAGTTCTTTCATTGTGTGGACCTAGCTATCGAAGACTCAAGTAAGCTCCATTTGAAGTCAATTTATAGACTTCTTGATCTTACGGCATGTTGCAGAAGCAGGCACCCTGGCAAAAGTATATAAACTTTACTCCATTGTAAGCCCTTTTTTTAAAGCTAGAAGTGTCAACCGTCGATAAAATCGACGTTGGCAGGCAGCTTCTGGCACTTCTAGGGTTAAAGAAGGCCTGATGGATGCACCAGTTAAAATGCAATCAAACGCTTAGATTTCTCCATTATCAAGGTCGTCCAGAATGAAATGGTTGAAATTCCATTTCAATGCAATCTGCAGCGGTCTTCAGGGCTGAAAATGAATAATTCAATATATGCCTCCTGAAATTATTATGGAATCTTGGCGGAAGGGAGGGGCGAGTGGAGTGCAAAATTGGCTCTTGTGGGTGGACGCGTGGGCGATGATAATGCCTCCCTTCTTTGTCGATCTCTATTTTCTATTCCTAAAATGATAGGAACCACTTGCGGTCCTTTCTTATCTCTGCGTCACTCTATTTCCACTTTTCGTGTCCAGCAAGAACAAGAAAGAAGAAGCTGGGCTTTGCTGGGCTGTGAAAATTCGTACGCGTGACACACAAGGCAAAATACTGACGGAGTTCTTTTTGGATGAAAGTACCTGTCAAAAACAGACATTATCGCAAATTTCCAATTTGCACATGTATTGGCACTGGCTGGTATTGGTCGATCGGAAAAAGATGCTGGGCTGCAGTTTCTCAGGTCTTCTCATGGTCTCCCTCTCTCCCTTCACTATTCTCCACCCTCCCTTCATCTCCTGCTTCCTCCCATGAGAACAGGGTATGTGGCCAAGGCACTTCTTACTCTGGCCACATACAACTTTACATTCCTGTCTCCATAACTCCAACCTCACCATTTTAAACTTTTTCTTCGAAGTTTATGTTCAAACAAACGAACCTGATCGAGAAATGACATACATTTGGTTAAATTAAAAATACTATTGCATTTTATTTCATGCGGCGATAAAAAGTAAAGCTTCTCTTTATCGAAAGGAGGCCCACTACAGGACTGGAGTGGCATAATTTATTTTTTCTCCCACTGCATATGATCATTGTCCCCTTAAAGGAATTAGCATGCAAAGGGTGGCATCTTTAGGACCATGGAATATCAGATTCTCTCATTTACGCCTTTTTAGCCTGCGTCTGGCTTCAGTTTCGAGTGCATAGGCTGAAGTGCACATAAGACAAGTGGGGGGGTATCCCAGACAGAAGGATATGATAATATAGAAACCCTTCAAGCCACTTGACACATAAAGGGGAAGGAGGCAGGGAAGGCATTTCGGCCATTCCGAGGGTCTCTCCGTCGTCCATTTCTCTTCATTCATGTCTGATAAACCTGGAGCATTCTCCCCAATGGCCGATCATCGTCACGAGCTGCAGAGAACGTCTGCCCGCAAGTTAAAAAGCCGCACCAGATTCTGGGATGCACTCCAATCGTTCTGCCTGCCTTCTATGGGGGCCGCCTTTCCCCCGTTCCTCTCCATGCTTTCAGTTTTACTTGGCGATGTCGTCGACTACTCGTGCGCGGATGTCCTTATTCCTTGTGGTCTTGAATCCCAGAAGAGAAGAGCATGAATTTTGTATGTGGAGTTAATGGGGAGTGAAGTGGGAGGAGTGAACCTCTTACCTTGGATTTCTTATACCATTCTCATTAACATAGAGCCCTGGAGACCCCGAGATCACGCGCACGCAATGCAAATCGCTCTGCGATTCCCCCCCACAATAGGAAATGTCAGAGAGTGAAACCAATAGACCGCTTCAAAATACAGCGACTGATTAGTTACTGAATCATTCAGCCGTATGTGAAAGAGCCTCAGAACAAAACCCAAGGAAACTGAATATAAACCCACTTATCAAGATGTGCAGGCTGTTCGCCTCATGGCACTCACGGAGATGAGGAGAAATCCCGTTTCCAGCTGCACACAGGCTGATGACACGTCGCAATTTATCCGCTTAATAGACGAGGATTTATTATCAACTTATCTTCATGCTCTATTTATGAATATCCCTGGAGGTCCTCGAGGAAAACCTAAACATCTTGGTTCTCAGTGCTTCACAAATTGATTTTGCTCTCGCATGTACATCCGTGATTAGAAAAGAATACTATTGTCTCCACGATTCGTACCCGGGAGAAGGCCAACCTGTTTCATCCGGAAATGGATCGGATTGTGCCGGGTCCGTAAGCTGCTTTCGGATGTCCTCCTTGACACAAAGCCTGGATTCTTTCCCTCCCTGCTCTTATCTCCTCACTTTTGTCCAGGGGTGGAAAAAAAAAACTGGTTAAGGCGAGGGGGCGGAGTAGAGATTGATCCAAGGGAAGCCTAGTTTTAATATCAGCGGCTCCTCCGACCAGATTTTGACAGATGTCAGCATCTTCTCCCTCTTCTTTCTCTATCACGTTTCCTTTTCCGCCCCAGAAACGCCATTTCCTTCCTCCGTCTGACAGGGACGAACAGGAAGAAGAAAAAATCAGGATAAAAAGTTTTCGACGTAGAACGAATTCGTGTACTGCTTACCGAAGGAAATCATGCCGAAAGATCTCTCTCGCAGAATGATAGAGAAAGAAGGAAAATTTTGGGAGTAACGAGAGGATGTAGATTGAGCTAATCGAGAAGCGAGAGGAAAGGAGATATACTCATGGAATGACATCCAAGGAGAGAAGGATCACATTCATCTGCAGACATGAAAGGAGGGAGTCGTTATAACGTGATCCGCGAATTAACGTCGGTTGCTGAAAGCTCTAATGAGGAACACGTCATTCTGGGTCATTATTCACATTTAACCCTGTCGGCGGCCTACATGCACGACTCCTTGTTATCCGTGGAATTGTGGCCATTGATCTGCGCCTAATCCTGACAAGAAACGACAGCCAGAGAGAGACAAGAAAAGGGAGGATAGAAAAAAAAAAGGATTAGGGTGAAGGAAGAGGCTGGGACAGAGTCAACATTGGACGAGAAGGTCGATCATGCATGGTGCGCGACGTGATTGTATTGATCCAATACCAGGCCGCCAACGAAGAAAACGCAATGCCTATTTCTTTTGCCTTTTCTCTAATAAATATTCATCAAAATTCCTCTTACGAATTCCGATGCCGGCAACAGATCAATACAGATGTGATTGGCATATGCTGAAAGAACGAACGACCTCGTGTACCAGCCATTCATTATTGCCTACAATGTAGACAATGTTGCCCCAGACTTCCCGCCAAGAAGGCAAACATTGAGCATTCCGGCCCTCCCCCCTTCCCTTCCCTTTTTCCTGTTGGCTTCTGTCGCAATAGTGCATGGAGAAAGGACACGGGACGTCAGTCATTGAGTCTCCCGGTGGCAATTATGAATAGAAAGAGATAACCACAGGAGTGAATCGAACTTTCCCAGTCACTTTTTCATGATATATCGAGTCCATTCTGTCCCCTCTCACGTGCACATGTTCCCACACCTTATCTGATAGGGAACATCGTCTTTTGAAACATCCACGAACCAGTTTCTTGGTTATTAACGATCGATGGACACTAGATAGAAGCAAATCTATAATGTTCAGTTCTCGATGCATGGGTTGTAATTGCACTGGCTGTCCCAAAAGTTGCATTAATCTGTGTAATATCAAGAAAATATGTAATATAATGTCTGCCAAGCTGGGTATGTAAGACTGGTCGATGGAATATATCAAAATGACCCAAGAATTACTCTCATACGCAAGCAGATATCTCAAAATATCGCACTCTGTAGTTTCTGTGAAAGTCCATCAAATCGCGTTCTTTCATGATTTCATACGAAAAGCAACTCACGTAGGCAGGGATGGGCAGCGACTGCTTTGAAGACGCTCAGACACCGCGCATTCCGAGGATGATGCGGGGGACAGAGGCAGCCGAAGAAAGGCGTATGTCGCAGGTCCGACCAGGCTTGGTAGCAGTCGTCCCTTCAGAGATATAAGGAGTTGCCTTTATAGTTTACCTATGGCAACTGTTTGTGGATTTGTCCTTCCCCCTCCCCTTTCCAACACACATAATCGACAATCGAAGTAAGGGAATGCCAGTTCTGGCCGGCATGCCCTCATTCCACTCAATTATGCATCGATAAAGTAAAAAAAAAAAAAGTAGGTAGAGTAAACCTATCAACTACCTAGAGAACGGGATAAGTGGGCCATACCCATTGCAATGAGGCAGGTCACCGCAAGCCATCCGAAAACGTCGATAGAGCCGGGAACAGCTGGAATCCTTTTCGCACAATTCCTCGGCATAGTCACACGTGGGCAGGGCTTCCACGATCCCCTCGCGATCTCCACCTAGGGAAATATGATCGTTTCATTCCCGGGATGGGATGGCAACGTACGGAAGTGGAGGAGGAGGATTCCCTTGGATTTTACCCTCCATGATTACATGACTGTTAGCGGGCTTCCCTCAGACCCAAGCATCCTCGAGGATGGGGTTTCATCATCCGAATAACTCTTCTAAATACTCCTCCTTCCTTTTCACATTTCACTTCCACCCCCCTTTCCCATCCCTTTCAGCAGGAAACGGAGGCTTTTCCCAAAAAATTTCGGTGCATTTCTCTCTGATAGATAGACAAATCCCTAGATTTTTTGTTGTTAGCACTTTGAGACTATTCTCACGATTTTCATGTAGGCATTGACATTTTACAGCAACATACGCCAGAGCATATGGTACTTCAAAATAGGGATTATGAAATAACAATGAATATTGATTCATTGTTATTTCATGGAATTTCTGTGGACATATGATAGATATGCTTATCATATCAGAACTCCTTCCCCTCCACCCTGCCCCGCCTCTCCCCCCATCTCTGCGGGGATTCTCTGCCCGACCGGAAATTTGAAGTCTTGTCATGGCGAATCATAGGTATGAGATATGGACTTATGTTAGTGACAGACGACAAGAGGTAAGATGAAGGGGAGACGAATGACGTGGGGGAAATCCCCCCGTTGACGAAAAGGGCAATCAAGAGACCCATATCCGGACGTAAATCCGCTCCATGATAGAGACCTAGGGTTTGTTTTCCCTTCATCCTCCCATCTCCTCTCTGCGTCAGTTGCGGCTCCCTTTTCAGTTCCAATAACCCGATCCTTCGCTTCATACACCCCATCGCGGTCTAAAACTAACGCGCTTGGTGAAACACCAGTAAAATTCCTGACCGGAGATTATACTTTATACACTGGGGTGGTGCATACGCATAAATTTAAACTATTTTCTTTTGAAGGTGCCGGAGGGGCAATTCCATTCGTAGCGTCCATCTCCTATTCCTAGGCTCATCATCTTCCCCGACGAGAAAAAAAAAGTTATTCTGTTGACACAGCCAATTTACTTTCTGTCTCGCCGTAGATTTTAAATGAAAAACCTCTAGGGATTTTCAACATAAGCGCATAATGGAAATGCATTTAAAAATGTATACCTAGCCGTGTTCGTGCCACTGTAGACACGCCTTCTGGATCAAGTGGAGCATTCAAGCTCATGAATTACGAAATGGCTTGGATCTGCAACCAGAACTGATATTCACCGTGATTCGTGGTTGAGGCTTCTCAAGGCTACCATGAAAAGAAGTTCAATTTTTAATGCATCAACCGCAAACATGTTTCTCCCTATGGCAACGGCATCAGGTTTCAAAAGATAGTGATTGTCTCAGGTAAAGAATCGTATGAAGAAAATTCCCAACGGAAGGCTCGTCTCTTTTGAATCATCATGGGAACCGGAAGAGATTTCTGAGAGCCGCATCAGTTCGTTACACTAATAGAGGATACGGCGGGAGCTTCTGAAATTATTTGCACATGTGGATAATCCAATCTGTCACAGAGGGAGAGTTAGCCATCAAAATAAACTATCACTCTCAAACCGAATTTTTCCAATGAACACGCGCAGCCTGTGATGTGGGTAAACTGAACTGTCGCTGAGTTAGCGGGCAGAACAGCCAACCAGGCGCCTAATTACCCCTGGGTCATAAGTACTTCGCGGACGGTGGAGTGGTGCCCTTATTAATGGGACTGTATAAGGGCGTGGTGCTTCAGTCAATGCACGTCTTTCTGTATGTTTGAAGCAATCAATAAGTCTGTTGTCCTATGACTGCTGCATGTGTCCCCCTCCCTTTATGCATTATTTTCAGAGGCTGGGGGGCTTTGCAGGGCTTTCTTGTATCAGAAACCAGAATTGGAATGAAATGTATGAATGCAACGGTTTTGTGGAAGGCTGAATCTATGATCGGCGCTGGTCATACTTATGATGGCACAATTGCTTGATAACTTTTTGCTGGGAGTCAAGGTTGAGTACTTCGATATCTCATCCGAAATTGTGGGCAGTCTAATATTTCAACCATGAAAGATGACCTTTAAAATATTTTAACTGACGGGGGGAGGGAGACCCATAAAGAAACTTTAAAAAATAAATCTCCTTCATCTGAAGGAAGTTAGTAGTAAGAACTACTCCTGGTATTCAGGAGTTCCAGGAGTGAATTTTCCATAATTGTTTCGCATATTTTATGGAATTTTTCCATGAATGCGCGTAGCGTCCCTGTAGAGCTGCCAAACTTGAAGGACATGCTTCAAAATCCCTTCGTACGTGGCAGCAGCAGTCTTTCCTGCGGGTGAAGCAGATGTATAGTTTATTCCTGAGTGGAGGGATCAGGAGGGTTCGTGCGGTCCCTCCAGGGCCGGAGATACTCATGAATTTCATGAGCTGCACGGAGTGATTCATTTCCCCCGAGAGCCTCTTCTCCCTCATATAACCGCGCTGCGTGTCACTGCCGCATCACACTTCAGCATCAAAGATGCGATTTAAGAAATAAAAAAACCGCAGGAACAAAATCATATCCCGAAGTAACGCGTCCGCGAGCAGAAGCATCAGCTGCCAAATTCGAACCCACCTGGAGGATCGAAGTAGAGGCAGGGATGATCGAAGAACATGTTCTTATAGAGGTTGCACTCCGCATCCTCTTCCGGCTCCCGGCACAGGCAGACGGGCTGGAAGATGGCGAAACTCTGTAGGGTCCTCAACGCCACCACGCATTTCTTCGGCGTCGGGGTCGAACAAGCAACTGCAATAGAGGATTTTCCTCTTTTATTTTAAATTCAGTCAGAGGAATGATAACGATGCAGATGCAGCGAGAGCTCCTGGCTCCTCCGTTAAATCCCCATAGGTCATATCACACTAAGGATGCTTCCGTTCATTTCGCATGCAGGGGACGCTGATGTTCGACAACGTGTCAGGAATTCCATATTCCAAGCGCCATCAGCGGGGTCTGGCCAACGAAGGAAATTTTATAAATCTTTTTCGTGTTCCTTCGTGATCGAATATCACCTGAAGGCATCAGACACCTGGGTGCGATATAAACGCCTACTGAAACTGATCAGGCACTTCTTGATGTGATGGGGGATCCATCATGATGAGTACACACGCATGAAGAGAGAGGCACGACTGTTATTGAGGTCGACGGGGCAGATGTCAATATCATCTAATCGACTAATGGAGCTACGTGGGAGTAGGAATCTGAGAGAAACCCGGTGGACACAATGACACGCTCCCTTTCCGTTGACGGACACAGGCCATTGTGCATAGGAACGGATCGTCGCCTTTCAAACGCCATTCCAGCGTTCTCTGTCCATTGTCTGCCACAGTCAGCATCTTTCTCAATTAATTTAGAGATTGAGGGAAAATTACTTAATTCCATTTAAGGTACTATGGGAAGATGAAAATCGACCCCCCTGGATCGAAATTCCGCTTTATAATTGTTGTAAGAGACCTCAAGAAAGGGCCTTGGAGCCGATTGCTGACTCTCTGCGGTCACGCCCGGGGCCATGATTTGAGGTCAAAGGTCACAATTTACATGCATCTCTTTGAAAATGTGTATCTCCCCAACCATTGGCCGCAGAAACGTCAAATTCGTGCCATTCTCCTTGGAAGATATCGCGCTAAATGGAAAAAATAGTTACATGCATGTAACTGTCGTTATCGAGACGCCATGGTGCCATAACTGAGAAAATTTCCGTTTTCGGATTCTGTTTTTTCGCTCTCATTCCTCGTAGAAATTTTCTATCGACAAAAGCATGCTATACTTTTTGGAGGCTATCCTGATCCATCTTTTGGCGGAGTTGCGCATAGTTTCCTCGAACCGTTCGCTCTCAAAGTTCGACGATCCACGCGAAAATGCCACTTTTTTGGAAATCACTCGAGGTTGACGGACATTGCTCGAAAACGAAGCCGAAATTCAAAAATTCCTCTGATAGATCTCTTAAGAAGTCTCTCAAGAAGTTTCGTGTGGATTTTCATGGGAATCCGTTCGCTATCCTCGGAGCCTATCGTTTTTTGCTGTGGCCCATTTTAAAATTGAGGCCATTTCTGTCCTACCGGGTCGATTTCCTTGGTTCATCGGTCGCAAATAACGGATTTTTTTTGTTCCTATCGCATAGAGATATGTTTCAGGAATCAAATGACACCAAGATTGCTTACTTTCTCCCAGGTGATAGAGAACGCGGGGTTTTAATTCCCGATTTGCATGAAATCTTGAATCCTCGCGCGCAGCTCTTCTTTCTTGGACCTCCCTCCCGACTCACNAGGGAGTTTGTCAACTTAGGTCCCCTCTTTCCTTTGAAATGAAACGCATCCCGCAGACTAGAATGGACTTTGAGCTCCAAAACTTGTCTGAAAAAGTAGATTCATGAAACGCGCCATTTTAGAGATGCTTGAGAGAGATGGAACGTTACCTGACCTCCTGGGAGAGGTGAGATTGAGGATGGTTCTATTTTGGGGGAGTATGAAACTAAAATGAAGCTTCTACATTTATACCACCGGTTAGGGTGGAATCTAGACGACAAATATTTCCAGAAAGTGATTTTTCTTCAAGTGTTTCACCGTCGAGATGTATGGAGGAGAAGGATAGCGCCTGATTGAAAGGGAGGTACATTATGGAGGCATTATCCCTGGTGTACATTTATCTCACTTAAATATTGTCAAAAATAAAAATGTATACCACTGGCTAGGGCAGACTCTGGACTACAAATCTTGCTTAGGCAGAATTTTCCGAAACTGAAACGTTTTCGAGATAAAGGAGGGAGAAGCGAGTCAGCTCTCCACTGTCCATTGTTGAGTACATGAGAACGTGGCATTGTTTCCCGTACTTAACACTCCCCGTCTGCAACCAATCAGGAAGCGCTAGTATCATCTGTTCCTGCGCGTGACATGGACTCCGTATAGTCATATGTCCTTGCTAAATTTGCTGTTTGATAGCAATTCGACTGGTCGAATCAAAACAACTCGGAAACAGTTCGCCCCATTAACACCATAATAAGCAAATCGAAAAATCGACGATGCAATCGAATCTCAAACGAGGAATAAAGATTCAAGCTGACTTCAAAGGTCAAAGACCAAGAGCCCGTATTACAAATAATTCTAATTTTCAAAGCAGTTTCCTGGCTATCATTTTGACCANCATCCCTTCTTCCTCGCCAACGACCACGAGCTGTTTTCCTCTAAAGTGTGGTGGTTTGACCCACAATTTCTGATGACGCCTATAATGAATCGCCTTTCCAGGTGGACCGGTTTCCGAGCAGTGTGATTTATTTATGTTATTGTGCCTAAAATTGGTCAGTAAACGACAAGGTCAACGGAACTCAGGTGCATTTTCACATCAGTCTATCTCTTCCCCTTTCCCCCTCTCACATGCCAAGACGTGCATGGCACTAGCATTCACGTTCAACCTCATACAGTTTGACCTAGACCGTGCATATGAGAAATGAATTTTCTTCCCTCCTCCCTTTCTACCTTGCCCTTCTCATATCTTGTGACCCCCCCCCCCTCCCCTTTTGGTCCCCGACCCCATTTCCAGGAGCAACTTACCAAATGGACTCTTTAGTTCTGGTCCCCCTTTCATCTGCGTCTTGGCATGTGAGAGGGGGAAAGGGGGGGGGGGGAGGAGATAATATCTTGTGCCCCCCCCCCCCCCTCCCCTTTTGGTCCCCGACCCCACTTCCAGGAACAACTTACCAAATGGACTCTTTAGTTCTGGTCCCCCCTTCATCTGCGTCTTCAAGTTTCATATATGGGAAATATGTTCTGAAATTTTGAAGGAAATGTTCAATGAAATTTTCTTAGCTTCTCATACTCCATTGGAATCATTAGAGATTTGAGATATCTGCCCTCGTGACAAGGAAAGTGCGACTATCCTTGCCTGCGACGAAAGAGCGCAACGACCTAAAGTGCATGCGACGTTTTGTGCGCGACGAACTGTCCGCGACCATTTTGGCTGCAACGAAAGCGCTTGTAACCACTCCTTCCACATTCAGTACATGAAGTACTACATGCTCAATCCATTTTTTCGCCGAGCGCTAGAAAGTCTTCACGAGAGGAATAAGTACATGAGGTACTACATGCTCAATCCATTTTTTCGCCGAGCGCTAGAAAGTCTTCACGAGAGGAATGGACTTCGCCTTGGGTTGATCGCTGTTTTCATCGCCAAAAAATAGGAGAGTACTATTTTTTCTGAAAATGAAAATAAAGGGAAAAGACAGCATGTAACGAAAACAAAAGATAATAAAATTATCTGAAAAATGAAGATTTCGAAAGTCAGACCTTGAAACTCTTACCTGTCAAAGGTCAACTGACGAGGGGTTGGGGGAGGGAGGGAGGGAGGGGGTGTTTGGGAGATATTGAGGGCAAGAAGTATTGAAAGCCTTTCTGTCTATGAATTTGTACGTATTTTTTTTTTATCATTTGAGCTCTCTGCACGTTGCTTTGGAAGATTTGGATTCCTAGTGAAGTGTCATGACCCCATGAAGTGTTTCATTCATGTCAAGCGTGTGAAATTTTTGGAAGGATAGACGTAAAATTACGGAGTTTTTAATCGTTGGCACCGCCCTCTGTGACATCCGCATCCGTTTTCCGCACATCCGCACCGAATTAGAATTGCCTTCTAGAGAGAGAAGACAATGTGGGGGGAGAGCGGCGACGCGCCAGGACCCTCAGGAGGGGGGAATTGAAAGCGGAGCCTTTGATAATAAAAAAATAAAAAAATTAAAAAAAACACACAGAAAAGAAAAAAGAAAAAGAGAGAAGCGTCCAAGGGACGAGAAAAAAATCAATACAGGGTGCCCCAAAAAAGGGGCACTCTTTCCAACTCGCATTTTAGGCGTGATGCTTTCAAGGATATTTTTTCTGGTTGCATATAATGGAAAGGAGAAAGACAGCTATAAACTGCTTTTTTTCAGAAGGCCGATTTTTCTTAACCGAAATTCAATCAATTTTTCTTAAGTCATCCCTTAATATATTTCAAATCTGATAATAAGCATTTTGCAGCTGTGTCTTTCTTCTTTTCATTATATGCAACTAGAAGAAATATCCATGAAAGCATCACACCAATAATGCAAGTTGAAAAGAGTGCCCTTTTTTGGGCCACCCTGCAGAAATAGGCGCCAGTTGAAGTCGCGTCGGTCTCCTGCTTCTCCTGCTACTCACTTGCACACAGACACACACAATCACCCGCACGCACAAGTGGATGTGAGTCGGGAGGGAGGTCCAAGAAAGAAGAGCTGC